CCCAACTTTTATACCCTATCCTGCCCCTCCCCTGCTTCCCTACAATCCTGACCCCAACTTTCATGCCCTCCCCGTCCTTGAGCCCCATTTCTTCCAACCACTCTCACTGCCCAGCTCCCTCTCCCTGCCTATTGCTACCACCCAGCATTCCCCAGACACAATTTGCCATCTCTCCCCTCCTCACTTCCCAACCTCCATGGCTGTTCCAATTTGCCTCCTCACTTCCCAACCTCCATGGCTGTCCTATGGCCCATGCCTTCCTCCCCATCTGGACAGCCTTCCCTTTTGGTGTCCTCTCCCCATTCCCCACATCAATGGGGTGATTCTCATGAGCAGGCCCCAAAAACTCTGAAAGAGGAGATTCACTTTGCATTTACACTCATTTGATTTAGTGCCAGCATGAAGAGTGAATTGGCCCAACCGACTCCATTGGAATGACTCCAGATTTACACCAGAAGTGAGGGAGGGGAAAATGAGCCCCACTAACTCCACTGGAGTGACTCCCAATCCACACCAGGGATGAGAGAGAAGTGAATTGCCCTCAGTGACTCCACAAGAGTGACTCCTGATTCACATGGGGCATGTAGGAAAGTTCATGTGAAACATTGCAATGGATTTCAGCATCTCCACATCTACGCTTGTAAGTTTCACCAGCTAGTGAATACATTTTTTTACCCAAGATAGATTTTACCACACACACTAGAGGATTGAAAGCAACCCGGGGATGGAGGCAGAATTAAGCAAGAGAACTGGCTATTGTTGAAATCCTCTTTTTGATCAAATCCCCAGCCCTGGTCTGATTTCCAACCAGTCCCCAAGGGAGTGAAAACTCCCTGTCTGGACCATGTTTTTCCACCTTTTAAGACTTTGCCCCAACCCAGCTCCTCTGTTGGGGTAAATGGAAGAAGTGCCAGAGGCTTTGCCCGAGCCTGGGGAGCTGTTCTGGCCTGGCATGGGAACAGCCCTGGCAGGCGCCAGTTGTGGTCATTAGCAGAGGTGACAGGGTCCTCCCACGCATGACAGAAGAAAGAGCCATTGAATATGCAAGAGTGCAGGGCTGGGAGGGAGGCTCATTGTCAAGCTAATGGGGCAGGAAGTCACCATGGGGGAGAGTTTGTGCTGGGGTTCACCTTGGAATGCTTAGGGCAAACCCTGGGCTGGTACAAATGTGGCCAGATTAAAGCTATGGCTCATTGACCTTAGCTGAGACCTGGTCCTATTGACTCCAATGGAGAGATGCCCATTGACCTCAGCTGGGATCTGGTCCCATTGACTCCAATGGAGAGACACCCATTGGCTCAAGTGAAGTGATGCCCATTGACCCCAAATGGGATTTGGTCCCATTGGCTCCAATGGAGAGATGCCCATTGACCTCAGCTGGGATCTGGTCCCATTGACTCCAATGGAGAAATGCCCATTGGCTCCAGTGGAGAAATGCCCATTGACCTCAGCTGGGATCTGGTCCCATTGACTCCAATGGAGAAATGCCCATTGGCTCCAGTGGAGAAATGCCCATTGACCTCAGCTGGGATCTGATCCCATTGACTCCAATGGAGAGACGCCCATTGGCTCAAGTGGAGAGATGCCCATTTACCCCAAATGGGATCTGGTCCCATTGACTCCAATGGAGAGACACCCATTGGCTCAAGTGAAGTGATGCCCATTGACCCCAAATGGGATTTGGTCCCATTAACTCCAATGGTGAGATGCCCATTGGCTCCAGTGGAGAAATGCCCATTGACCTCAGCTGGGATCTGATCCCATTGACTCCAATGGAGAGACGCCCATTGGCTCAAGTGGAGAGATGCCCATTGACCCCAGATGGGATTTGGTCCCATTGGCTCCAATGGAGAGATGCCCATTGACCTCAGCTGGGATCTGGTCCCATTGACTCCAATGGAGAGACACCCATTGACACTGGCTTGAATCTGGTCCCTTGACCCCAATAGAGAGACACCCATTGATCCCAGCTGAGATCTGGTCCTATGGACTCCAATGGAGAGACACCCATTGACACTGGCTTGAATCTGGTCCCTTGACCCCAATAGAGAGACACCCATTGATCCCAGCTGAGATCTGGTCCTATGGACTCCAATGGAGAGACACCCATTGACACTGGCTTGAATCTGGTCCCTTGACCCCAATAGAGAGACACCCATTGATCCCAGCTGAGATCTGGTCCTATGGACTCCAATGGAGAGACACCCATTGACACTGGCTTGAATCTGGTCCCTTGACCCCAATAGAGAGACACCCATTGATCCCAGCTGAGATCTGGTCCTATGGACTCCAATGGAGAGACACCCATTGACACTGGCTTGAATCTGGTCCCTTGACCCCAATAGAGAGACACCCATTGATCCCAGCTGAGATCTGGTCCTATGGACTCCAATGGAGAGACACCCATTGACACTGGCTTGAATCTGGTCCCTTGACCCCAATAGAGAGACACCCATTGATCCCAGCTGAGATCTGGTCCTATGGACTCCAATGGAGAGACACCCATTGACACTGGCTTGAATCTGGTCCCTTGACCCCAATAGAGAGACACCCATTGATCCCAGCTGAGATCTGGTCCTATGGACTCCAATGGAGAGACACCCATTGACACTGGCTTGAATCTGGTCCCTTGACCCCAATAGAGAGACACCCATTGATCCCAGCTGAGATCTGGTCCTATGGACTCCAATGGAGAGACACCCATTGACCCCAGACGAGATTTGGTCCCATTGACTCCAGTGGAGGGATCTGGCCCTTACTGCATGTGACTGGCTTTATTTGGCATAAGGAAGCCAATTCCCCCCTCCCTTACTCCGCTGTAAGCCAGAAGTAACTTCATTGGGGTCAAGAGGGCCAATTCCCCTCTCCTTCACTGGGCGCAAAGCAGGAGTAACCCCTGGAGCCAATAAGCCTCTGTAGTGTGGGTCAGAAGCAATCGCCCCCCTTCCCAGTGCAAGCAGGGAAGGGGTCATCAGCCAGCGTGAGCTATTTATTGGCCCTTGTGGTGGCCCTGCCACTGCTCGCATCTCACGGGAACCCACAACCGGCTGGGCTTCCCAGTGTCATAAAGCTGAGGTGTGAGTCCCGGGGGGAAGGGAATGGGGGAAGTACCCAAAAAATCCCGAATGCTGAGACGAGAGTTTTCTCGGGGGGCACTGCCAAACTAGCAGCTCCAAACACACCATGCACAAACCGACCTGCCCATTCACAGATGCACGCGGACATGCCTGGGTTAGTAGCTATTCCTGCCTAGACCCCAGCATAGACGTGGCTCGGTCAATGGAGCAACTCTTCTAGCCCTTGCCTTTGAAAGCGTCCAGTTAATGACAGTGAGAGATGATGTCTTTCAGTTGCTGCCAGAGGCGACTCATCTAGACGCAAAGGCCGCACCATATATAAAAACGCTGGAACTCACTGATGGGCATGCGATGGCTTTGTTCCAAGATGAGGCTTAAATGGGTTACACTCATTTGACCGGAGTGTCGCTTCTGATACATACCAGCATGCGTGAGGCGTGAATTGGCCCAATGGACTCCACTGGAGTGACTCCAGATTTACACCAGAGTTGAGGGAGAGGAAAACGAGCCCCACTAACCCCACTGGAGTGACTCTCAATCCATACCAGGGGTGAGAGAGAAGCAAATTGCCCCGTGACTCCATAGGAGTGACTCCTAATTCACTTCTGATTCACATGAGGAGTGTAGGAGACTCCATGCAGAACGCATACAAACATTGCAATGGAGTTCAGCGTCATCATGCCTGCCCTTGTGAGTTTCACCAACCAGTGAATTTATTTTTTTAACCAAGATAGATGTTACCATGCTCGGGAGTTGAAAGGCAAGCAAACTTACAAAGGGCAAATGAAACTCAATGTTGATCAGTGCAAAATTAGGCCCATGAGAAAACATAATCCCAACTACGCTTACAAAAGGATGGGATCTAAATTAGCCATTACCACTCAAGAAAGAGATCTTGGAGTTGTTGTGGCTAGTTCTTGGAAAACACCCCTTCGGTGTGCAGCTGCAGTCCAAAAGTGACCAATGTTAAAAACGCTGGGATAGCTAATACCAAAGAATATCTCATATTGCCTCTATATAAATCCATTGGATGCCCACATCCTGAACACTATGGGCAGAGGTGATCACACATCTCAAAAAAGATATGTTGGAAATGGAAAAGATACAGAAAAGTGAAACAAAAAGTATTAGGGGTATGAAACAGTTTCCATATGATGAGAAATTAAGACTGGTACTTTTCAGCTTGGAAAAGAGGTGACTAAAGGGGGATATGACAGAGATCTATAAAATTATAAAGGGTGTGGAGAAAGTAAATAAGGATGTATTATTTACTCCTTCCTATAACATAAGAACTAGAATTCACCAAATGAAGTGAATCAGCATCAGATTTAAAAAAAGAAGGAAGTATTTCTTCACACAATGTTCAGTTAACCGGTGGAACTCCTTGCCAAATGATATTGTGAAGGCCAAGACTAAAGCAGGGGAGTACTGAGCTTTATTGAAAGGATCCCAACACAACACACCCCTCTGGATATCCTTTTGTACACACTCCATTGGACAATATAACCCCATACACACCCATCTATCCCCGTA